GTTCTGAAATCTTTAATGTAGAATTTCTTTCTATTTTATTAAATAAAGTTTCAACTATGGCATTTACAAAAAAAAAATAAAATAAAATAAAATTTTAGCTAAATCATAAACATCATTAAAAAATCATCTTTTTTTATAAATAATTGTTTTAATAGATTCATTTGTTATAATTAAAGGATTTCATTAATTATCTAAATAAAAATTATAAAAATTAATTGTATTTAATAAAAATTTTAATATTTATCATATATAAATTTTACAATACCTCTTTTAAACATGTTTCTAATCGATAAACTGATTTTAACATCTTATAAACTGTTGTCCATCTTGTATTAATATAAGTTTTTAGTCCACCATCTAATATATTTTTTCAGAAATTTTAGCTAGTAAAAGATCATTTGGTAAGTAGCTTTTTTTAAAATATAAAACTAAAACTTTACACCATTGAATAATTTTAGTTGCAAAAGGATGTTTGATTAAATCTTTTGTAATAAGGTTAAATGAATGTACAATACATCTAATATTTAATATATATAAATATTTTTGAGAAATTTGTTTTCTTGCTAAATTAATATTTGAACCTGTATCAGTTACTATGCTAATAAATTTTTCAATTCTAATATCTTCAAGTATTTTTTGAATTTCTTTTGTTAAAAAATCAGCAGTATGACTTGCATTTGAATAATCTTAAATTTTTCAAAGAATATCTTTACCATCATCTAAATAAATAACAAAATTCCATAAAGATTTTCTTGTTAGACTAGTCCATCCATCTAAAGCTAGAATAAATTAATAAATTATAGTAAATATATAGATTTTAAAATTAAATTAAATTGATTTAAATTTAATTAAATTAGAAATAATTAATAAATTAAATATCTAATGTCAAATTTTTTTATCTTTTAATAATTTATATAAATATGTATCAATTCTAACTATTCCTTTTGTTAATAAAGTATTTGTAACAGTTTTTCTACAAGGTGGAGTATAAGCAGGACAAAGTTGTTTTAAAAATTCAATAAAAAATAGATGTTCTATAAGTCTCCAAGGTAATCCACAACATACAAATACTTTAATAAGTGCTCTATTTATTGTTTTAATACATTTATCTGGAATAGTTGTACTTTCAAGAAATTTATCTAAACATAATTGTTCATTTGAATGCTTAGTTCCAGAAATATTTGATAAATTGTCACAAGATTTAATAATATATATGACTGCTTCTTTTACTGTTTCAGAAACTTTTTTACATTCACTAATTATATGTTTTTCCATTTGTGATAGTTTTTCAGGTGAAAATTTTTTATCACATGCTTTACAAATTGCTTCATAATGTTCTGAATTATCTAATGTATCTTCTCTATCATAAAAATTCCAAATTAGTTTTAATGGATGATCACCAATATTTTTTTCAGTGATATATTTAACTTTTTTAGATTCTGACATATTAAAAATATATTAATTTTAGCAAGTCTAGTTTATTAATTTGTGATTCGCCTTCAGAATCTAGTACTTTTTCTTTTTCATATTTTAGTTGCATTAGTGTATCATAGTTTTCTATTGCATAAAATATGCTCCTGAGTTGTATTTGTAATTCTGGTGTAAGTATTATATTACTGGTTATTTTTGCTTTAGTAAATATTGCTATTCAGAATGAGTTTTTGGTTCCATTTGCATTGCAATTTGGTTATATGAAGGGTGTATATATGATTTTATTTTTGTTGTTGCTTTATCATTTCATCCTTGCAGGTTTCCTGATGAATAGCAACTATAGCCTACTTCTAGTAGTTTTTCTTGATACAATAGTATTCCAGTTTCTTCTAAAGTTTCTTGTATTAATAGTTCTTCAAATGTTTCTTCAGAATAATCTTGTTTTCCTTCAGGTAAGTTGTACTAGGAGTAATACATTTTTTCGAGATTTATTCATTAGGCTAAATATATTACTAGTAGCTTATATATATTCTGCTCAAATATTGCTATTTGTGCAAATTTAATGGTTCTTCCAGGATGAATTATTGATTGATGTTTTTTTATTTTAACTGTGGGCCAGTATTATTTTGTCAAGTAGTTGGAATGTATAAATTCTATAATTTTCTTCTGAGTTTATATCATAATGATTATGTGTTTGTAATCTGTGGTTCCAGAATAAATAATGTTGTCCTTGTACAGTTATGTTATAAAAGGTGGTATTTATTTCAGATATATAATCTTGTACTATTTCCAGTGTTAATTTTTCAAAAATATTATCTAGTTCTTCAAATAGTATTTCTTCTAGATATCAATATTAACTAGTAATATATAGTACAAATATTAACTTATTTCTATATATTTACTAGGTAATATATACAGTTTAATCTATTTTTAGTTAATATATTTAAATATATATATTTCTTAGTAAATATATAGTAAATAAGTTAATACTTGTACTATATATTATAGTTAATATTTAGTTAAAATATAATTTTTTTACCAGTGATTGAACTATAATTAATACTCAATTTACTATTGCAATTACTGTTTAGAATTTTATTATAATATTAATTTTTTTGTTTTTAAACTTTTTTTGATACTTAGTATTATATTACTAATATCTATTGATATAATTATAATTTTTTTTCCAACTTTGGCAGTCTTGCACAGTGTTGGACTATGATGTCATATGAATGACATGACTTATATAATTTGTCATATAACAATCTCATATGATGTGTCATATATTAATAATATGATATGATTTTCTATCATATGATATGTAATTTTTATGATTCTATATCAGATGAATTATTACATGATATTATGATATTGTCATTGTCCAACACTGGTCTTGCAAGTAATCCTTTATTAAAAAGATACTTTAAGCTTAATATTTAGGCCTAATATCCTGCAGTTACTTCTAAAAGTACTTATAAATGACCTGCTATACTAGGCTAATAAATCTATATATTACAGTAAATCAACAAAAAATCTGAAGACTACCTATCTTAAAAAGCTATAGCAGACTACTGCCTTACAATAGGATATCACCAATCTGATGACATCTTCTCATAGAGAAGTAAAAAAAGAAAAAATACTAACACTAACACTAATACTAAAAAGGGTAAAAAAGAAAGACAAGAATAAAAAAAATCTGTTAGTCACAATTATAAGCCTGTATTGGGCTAACAAAAATTATATATTATAAGATAAAGAAGCTCTGTATCTAACTCTATCCTAATAATATATCTAATTCACACAAAAAAACAAAAATAGCAGATTTAAACTAAACTAGACTAAGCTAGACAGAGTAGTTAGAAGGCACCATTAGTCTCGAAGTATTGTTTAAATAGTTTTTTGGTTGAGGCATATCACCTAATTGTGTTGTCCTTTGGATATGTTTGGTTGCTTAATCTGACAATCTATTGATTTTGTGTTTACTTAAAAGTAAACAACTCTTTTTGGGAAATAATCAATCTGATTTAGAAGATAAACAATACTGATTGTTTTAGAAAATTATGTGTTGATCTTTTGGAAGAGGTAAGCTGAAACACTCATTTTTTAACAAATTTTTTCAAAAAAAGTAGTGGGCCAATGAAACTTTGTGGATTCTTCCTTGTAAGTTTTACAGTTGTATAGGGACTATTTCTAGTTTTTTTAATTTCTGTGTTCTCAGAATATCCTTCTGGTTTGGATGCTGAATATAATAGAAGAGTCTGCTGACAAGAAAGCTTGACCTTTACAAAAACTGTACAAAGTAGTTTTCTCCTTAGTTTATACTCTTAGTACTTCATCAACAAC